CTATTGACAACACACCTTCTGTTACAATTCTAGCTCTACATCCAGAAGTTCAGACAATGAGCAGCAATTAGAGATGTGTCCATCACAGTGATTCCCAGGTACCCCAATTTTAACTTTCAGAACTGCCCCAAAATTGTATTTGAAGACACAAGTAGTCCCAGCAGCCTTCTAACTCTTGCAACTAACCCTCTACCAGTTTGGAAAAACTCCTGGCAATGCTCCTAGTTAATTCCATGCCACTTACTGCAACATGTTGCAGGCCCTCCAGTTTCTGTTGAAGGTGAGGATGGTTGCCATCTCCTCATCACTCAATTTAAAATCAAAGACCTGGAAAGATAGGAGTTCCAGCACATCATCAGTAAGGCCGTTACTGCTGTGACTGGAGACTGCCGCTCATTCTAGCAGGGAGTTCTAGCAGCACAAACTGGTCACAGGTGTTTTTCCCATTATATCCACAGGATACAAATTTTTCTCTAAATTAGGTCCTACATAAAGACCGCAGTATTTGTAGTGCTCAGTGTTCCGGGGGAGGGAGACCAGGTTCACAGGCACTAAGCTCCAGGTGTGCACAGGCCCTGTGCTCCATGATGCGCCCTTCTAGAAGACAGTTCTCCAAGGACAGTTCACACTTCCTCTGCTGCCAGAAGATGAGCAGGGAGGCCAGGATAGTCTGCTCATGTGGTGGCCCACGGCTTAGCTGCTCAGGGGCAACTGAGGGTCTTCTCAGTGGTGTGAGGCACAGCTGTGCTCAGACCTGACAAGGCTTCAGCAGGCACTGTCCCCAGCATGTCCTAAGCCCATGGGTCATTCATCTCAGGTATACTGAGCCTAGATCCCTGGGCTGGAAAATGATAGGATGGTGGGAACAGAGGGGGCAGAAGACAGTGCAGGGATGAGGTGAGAAGCCTAGTGACAGTGTCTGTCTGTGTCCCCCTCCCCTGAAGAATACCAGGGCCGACCAGCCGGGATCTTACCTGAATGTTCTCAACAATGCGTGCCGGTGTCACAGACTTGGGGATCACAATCACATTCCTCTGGATATGGAAACGGATCAGAACCTGTGCGGAAAGGGGACATCATGTTTCCACTCAGCTACAAGGACCCCTCCTTTTATGGAAAGGAAGAATAAAACATCTCTGCAGCTCATGTGGCTTCAGGTACAATCGCTGATACTGACTGAGCCCTTGACAGCTATAGACTTGTGCCAGCCCCCCGCCTCATTCTCTCCCTTCATCTTAGGGACAACCCTGTGATCTTCATTTTTTACGAATAAAGAACGCAGTTTGGGTCATAAGGCTGATCAGAGGTGGAGGTGGCGTCTGCACCCATATCCCTAGACTCCAAAGCCATGCTTTACGACTTGGCTGTCGGGCTTAACAGGAAGCTGTGAGGCAGAAGCTATCTTTGTTTCAGTGACAGCTCTTGTGTTTCCTGGAGGTTCCAACAGACTTCGAAGGAAACACTATAGATGGCTTCAGCTCCTGTGTTCTTCCCCTTTAAGGAGTTAGTTGAGGACAACACAAGAAATGAAACATGAGACTGGAAGAAATCGTTGTTGGATAACAAGAAAAATAAAAATATGGTACCTGGGCTGCAGTTTTCTTGTGCTTTGCAGCAATCTCCTTAATTTTGGGATCCTCCAGCAGGGAAGGGTCCTCTGGCTTGGCCCTAGAGGCAGAAAGATGCTGATGTGAACAATCACCACGGCTACCATGTACAGATGGACACCACTCCAGTGAGGGTCTCAAAACTGATCATCAGAGCCTCTCCATCTGGGAGACAGGCAGGAGGACCTGGAAGCTTCGATCCTTCCCCTGGGCTCTGAAGTCTCAGCATTTTGCAAAGCCTGGTTCATCCTTGGGTGGCTGAACTGGAAATATTCCCAGAGGGTCAAACACGTCGCCCATGTTTTTTTGTTGCTGTTTTTGTTGCTTTTTAATTCCCATTTGTTTCCACAGTCATCCCATTTGGTTGTAGCAAACGCATTACCTTACACACGTTTTTCTTTCCAGTGACTTATGGTCTCATACCAATATTTACCAAATATAAAATAATGTTTTTAAGATTATCAAGAGAAGGATCCACTGCTTGGAAGCCTCACCAAGGTCTATCCGGAGAGCCCAGAGGGCTGTAGGCCGTAACGGTGATGCCCTTGGAGTGGCAGTACTGGATCAGTTTCTCCTGCGTGAGGTACGGGTGACACTCAACCTGCAACAGCAAACAATCCTCATCACGGGGAAAGCTGGCTGGCTTTTTGAGTTGTTCATAGGGAGGGAGTTCGACACACACAAAAAAAGACCACCAAGCAAAGGCCAAATACCTACCTACTGAGATTCTTGCTAACACAACCATGAGGTCAGCCTCACACCTCCCGAAAGTGTCCTGATCACTGACCCCTGAGATGACACTCGGGACATAGCATTGAACGTTCCTCCCAATGTTTAAGAAATAATAGGGCAAGACCTTTATTTACCCTTATACTAAACAGAATTTACCTGGTTAGTCACTGGTTTATATTTCAATCCAGGTTTGTTCAAGAGCTTCTCAATCTGGAAGTGGTTGAAATTGGAAATGCCAAGGGCTTTCACCAGCCCCTCATCCACCAGCTCCTCCATGGCCTGTCATAGAAAGGAAAACCTTTTGGGCAGTCCCAGAGGGACTACAGGGACCCTGGCTTGCCTTAGTCCTCCCTGGGGCAGAAATTGCTAAAGGATCCAGCACAACAGGGTTAGCCGAAGGATTCACAGGAAATTTCAGTCCAGGGCCTGGGTGCCCATCAGTGAATGTTCCAGCCCTACTGCCCCTCCCCAGCCCAAGAAAAACTAGGAGTAACAGGTAAAGATTTATATTCTTGCCACCCTCACCTTACACATAAAGAAACACACTCAAAATTATACTGCTCTATACAGGGGAAATATGAAGTTCTGTAATACAAAAAATAAAAAATAAATAAAAAATGAACATTTGCAAGCTTATGAGATGATTTTATTTTTAATGAATCCAAATGACAGCGGGTAGCTACTGCTGTGTGTGCATTGTACACTCAAACCTAGGCAAGCTGTGTTAGTTCGGAAGAGGCTGCAGCATGTGGAGAAGCCTCACTTGTTGGTCCTGAGTCACTTTCTCCCACACCAACCGTGCTTGGGTTTGCAGGAAGGTCATGCATATAGATTATGCCCTGGCAGGGGCACCTGGGCAAGGAGTTGTGTGGGGCTGAAACCTGACCCACTGTCTGCATATCCAGCCATGCTTCCCGGTACAGAAACTACAGGGATCCCCAAGGAAGGGAATCTTTGTATAACTTTTAGCCTATATCGGGCATTTTCCAAACTTGCCCAAAGATATCATATATGTTAGCAGCAGCCTCCAATGCAACATGTATTTATTAGCCATCTATTACATGTTCCAGAAGTTGTTAGGATGTAAAAGTATACGATGTGCTTCCTTCTTCTGGGATTCTTACAGTCCAATTAAAGTGCCAGGGTTCCCTTCTGTGGAGCCATCAACCATGACCCTGAGGCTGCCTCAGATAACATGACCATGGCATAGACAGAGTCAGAAAGGGCAGAGAAGGAAGAGATTCACACAGCCTGCAGCTGTCAGGGCAGACCTTCAGGTAGAGTTTAAACTGCACCTCAGAAAAAGAAAAGAGAGAGAGATAAGAGGGGAAAAATATGAGCATATGAGACAGGAAGGCAATAGCAAAGCTCAGAGGCAGGGATGAATATGACATGTTCTGGGAACTCTTTATCTAGCCCTTCTCAACTTTGGCTGCAATTTGGAATCACCAGGGAAGTTTAAAAACTACCAGTGGATGCAGTGGCTCATGACTGTAATCTCAGCACTTTGGGATAGGATTGGAACAGGGGGATTTGGCCCAGGGTTTCAGCAACTGAGGGTAAGTTTTTAACTCTTGTAGACCTTAGTATTCTCTTCTTAAAAAAAGGTCTTATAATATACATACTAATAATGTATATCTTTCTGATACACATTATCAGAGGCTGAGACAGGAGGATTGCTTGAGTCCAGGTGCTCGAGACCATCCTGGGCAACATAGCAAGACTCTGTCTCTACCAGAAAAATTTTTTTTAATTAGCTGGATGTGGTCGCATGTGCCTCTGATCCCAGCTACCTGGGAAGATTGCTTGAGCCCAGGAGTCCGAGGCTGCACTGAGCTGTGATCTTGCCATTGTACTGCAGCCTGTGCAACAGAACAAGACTCTCTCTGAATTAAAAATAATAATAATAATAATAATATCGGTGGCTGGGTTTCACCCCCCAGAGTTTCTTACAGATTTTGTCTGAGTTGTAGAGTAGACATTGGGATTTTTAAACTCCTCAGGTGATTCTAATGAACAGCCACGTTGAGAACCACTAGCGTAGATGAAGTTGTTCAAATTGGGCAGTAGAGTTTAGATGCTATGAAAACAAAAGGTTCCCAAAACTTCTGATGGGGCATTTAGATAATACAAAAGCTATTGTACATCATAGGTCAGGTTAGTCTGCCTGTCTTCGAACTTGACATCTTTATACTTTTTCCTCCCGTCTGCTTCAGGGTGGTCAATGAGGTTTCTACTGAACTGGCTGTGGGTCTACAGAAACATCCAGCGCTTTCATATTCAAGCCTGCTCGTTTCAAATCAGAGCCTCTGACCTTGATCACTGATATCTTTTCATACCTTTCAAATGTTGTATTTAGCAGTCATCCTTGTATTCATTCACAAAACGTAGATTGTGAGATGCAGGTTACACTGACACACAAGCCACATTAATATCATCATAGGAGCTAAGGAAAACTGATAAAATGTATTGAAAAGGCCAGGTGCGGTGGCTCACGTCTGTAATCAGAGCGCTTTGGGAAGCCGAGATGGGTGGATCCCCTGAGGTCAGGAGTTCGAGACCAGTCTGGCTAACATGGTGAAACCCTATCTCTACTAAAAATACAAAAGTTAGCCGAGCGTGGTTGTATGCACGTGTAGTCCCAGCTACTCAGGAGGCTAAGGCAGGAGAATGGCTTTAACTCGACAGAGGAATGTTGCACTGAGGCAAGATGATGCCACTGCACTGCAGCCTGGGCGACAAAGTGAGACTCTGTCTTAAAAAAAGAACACTGCGCTTGTGGATTAATGTTTTTGAACAAACAATACACAGAAAAAGCTATGTTTAGTTGAATCATGTCCATTCTAAGCATTTCAAAAACGTGAGGCTTAATATATTTTCCCTTGTACAACACAATACAAACTCGCAACTGCATGTACCCCTACACAGACAGCTGCCAAGATAACATCATTAACTCTTGGAGTCATATGCCAGTGTTCATTTATAACTTATTCCTCCACTTCGTTCTCTACTAGCATTTGCAAAGGGATATAATAGTATAATAAAAAATGACCAGAGAAAACACTGATCCCTTAATTCACTTTGAATGTGAATGATGTGAACAGGTCATGATGTGATCTGGGAAGCAGGGCACTCAGGCTCCCTGATTTCTGGATGTGTGTTCACTGCCTGCCAAGCACCATGCTGATGGCTTTGGTAGTTGGACTTGTGATTCAGATGAGTCTGGGTCCAATCCCAGCTCTGCCACACACATTGTGACATGACCTGTACAAGTCACCAATCAAACTAGGCTTCAAATGTCATTATTTATAAATGGGGATGCTAACACTGCCTTATAGGTTTAGATGATTACATGGTGGCTATGACTAATGTTCCTGGCATGTAAACCATCTTAATCTCTATCACACCCTCAAAAATACATATTAGCAGTATGTGTTACAAGACTTCTTTTTTAAGAAGAGAAAACTGAGCCCTACAAGAGTTACAAAACTGACCCTCGGTTACTTAGCTGCTATGAGCAAACCCAGGCCCAAACCTCCTGTTACAAATGGCTCGCCCTGGTTTGAAACAGCATATATATTCCTTAAAGTGGGGTATGTTGTATTTCCAGTCTTATTTGAAGACTCAGTATTAGCCTTGAAATATAAATAGTATCAGATGCACCCAAAAGACAAGGGTGGGCCGGGCGCGGTGGCTCAAGCCTGTAATCCCAGCACTTTGGGAGGCCGAGACGGGCGGATCACGAGGTCAGGAGATCGAGACCATCCTG